AAAATTGAAATCGCATCATATGACCCCTTTAATATAATTTAAACGGATGAGTTATAAAATAAATTCACCCCCCTCAGTTGTCATGAAGGGCAAAATTAGCTATATAGACCAAAATAATTTTTTGAACCAGGCTGTAAACGTTTTTTTCTGCTGTAAAGTTGGGCATTTTAACATGGGGAGTCTATGGGATTGACTCCCTTTTGCAGCCAGCCTCTAGCGGCCAGTTGACGAATTACAGTTTAAGTCACTTCCTTGTTGGCTTCACGAGAGAGAGCGGGAGGTTGCCGCTTGGGTTTGACATATTATTGTGTATTATTGTTTTATTGTGTTTTGATGTGTTTTTGTTTCGATGCATGTTATTGTGTATTATTCTGTTTTCACAGCTGGCCAATCAGAGCACACCTTGCTTTTCAGACCGATGAGATTTGTAAAAATCGACGCGTTTCAGAAGGCGGGGCATAGAGGAGCAACAATAATGTACAGTATGTGGAAAATAATGTGTTTTTTTAACCTTAAACCGCATAAACACATTGCATTACACCAAATACACAAAATAATGTTCTTTTTAGCAACATCATATGACCCCTTTAACAATAATGTACAGTATGTGGAAAATAATGTGTTTTTTTAACCTTAAACCGCATAAACACATTGCATTACACCAAATACACAAAATAATGTTCTTTTTAGCAGCATCATATGACCTCTTTAATACTCTCCTCCCATAAATTTTGCGTCTGAAAGGGAAACTCCTACAAATGCATATTCAATAAGGTCAGGCGCAAAAATAACTGTGTCTATGCCTTTTCAGCGCTAATTCTTCACTGCGCGTCTTTAGTAAAATCTGACAGTGCTATTTTAACACCAAAAGATGGTTTGCGCTGGCGCAAGCTGTTAGTAAAACTGGCCCATATAGTGTATTATTGTATTTTGACGTGTTATTGTGCATTATTGTGTTATATTGTGTTTTAATTCATATTATTGTGTATTGTTTTGTTTTGAAATGAGTTATTGTGTTTTGTATTTTTTGTGTTTTGACACATTATTGCGTATTATTGTTTTATTGTGTTTTAATGTTTAAATGCATGTTTTGTGTATTACTGTGTTTTCACATGTGCTACTGTTTATTGTGTTTTATTGTTTTAATGCATATTCCTGTGTATTGTTGTGTTCTGAAATGTGATTTTTTTTGTGTGTGTTTTATTGTATTTTAATGCATATTATTGTGTTCTGAAATGTGTGTTTTTGTGTTTTATTGTATTTTGATGCATATTATCATGTATTATTGAACTTTGACATATATTATTGTGTACTATTGTGTTTTACCGTGTTTTGGCATGTTATTGTTTTGATGTGTTTTTGTGTTTTGATGATTGTGTTATGTCTTGTTGTGTAAATGAGTCTCACCTGTTTCTCCAGTTTCTGCTGTCTGAGGTTCAGACTGTTGTCCTCCAGCGTACTGAAACACAACAAACAACATTAAAAACCCATTAACACACACTTATACCATCCCATGTTGAGACTAGAGAATGAATGCTGCAGTGTGAGTGTTTTAACCACCATCAGTCATCTGTCAGTCATTGCGTTGCTAGGCAACCGATAAGACACCCAAACGAAAGAAAATCAATTTCTCACATACACACATCTATACATGACTGTGTGTCTAAAAATACACACACACCCACATAAACACTCACACCGCAGAGACCGGAGAAACATTTCAGATCTGCATTAAACGAATAAATATGAAGCTTGTTTTTTTTGTTTAAAGCATCACAGCATACAATAGTGAGTTTGTTGTACCTGGTCATGGCAGCGGACGCGAAGCTGGAAGAACTGGAGGCTCTTTGTTTCCATGGCGATGACAGATGGAGAGAGAGGGGAGAGAAACACAAGAGAGGAAGAGTCAGTGATGAAGATGACGAATGAACACACACCTGAATTAATGTTTCATGCTCACGGAGGTAAGGTGACACACAAGCTGTCTGATGTGACACCTGTGTCGCCGTGGTTACCAGCGTCAACATGACAACTTGAGGTAACACCCCACAAACACACACACACACACACACACACACACACTAACAGATGCTCTCCAGTAAGAAAGAAAGAAAGAAAGAAAGAAAGAAAGAAAGAACATTAAAAACACACCTATTTCTTACATGAATTGAGTAAAACGAAGTTAATTTTCTACAACAGAGCACAGCACCCTTCCAAAACACCAAACATTCACAAACATTTCAGTACAGGACGCAGCTTTATAAAAACTAAAATCAATCAACAGTCTTTACAATGGCATTAAAAATTGATACAAGTTTACATTCCTGATTCTGTTCAATTTTATTTCTCCTACTCGTGCATATTGCCATTTTACTTTTAACCAACACAAAATTTAACAAAAGACACTCTCTCTGTCATCTCCTCCAATATTTAACACCAAAAATACAAGTCTGCGCAGAAAATGTTTCACCAAGCAATTCAAACAAACTAGAAAGAAAGAAAGAAAGATCAAATGGATTAAATTAAGCTATATCTATCAATCCATCTATCTATCTATCTATCTATCCATTTGTACCAAATGTAATATTTTTAGGAATCAATCACAGGCAACAAAACATGTTTTCCCATCAATGTTTATGATCTCAATTAACCCTGCATCCGTCCATCCATTACTTTATACTCATTCACTTAACATGCTATCTTTCATTATAGAGGAATCAATATCCATATTTGGAAACAACAGCAGCGTCATTCAAGAACTGAAACACTGTGAACTTAATGAGTGCAAACACACAACAGAGCGACTGTCCTCATGTGAATCCAAACCACACACTCCTTTATATGAAACACAAACTTTCAACACTAAACCTCTGTTCTGTCTCTTGTATGTGTGTGTGTACCTGTATGACCAGCGGCTGTAAGCGGGCTGAGAAGAGCTCTTCACCGTCTCCATGTCGTGAGTGTGTGTGTGTGTGTGTCTGGGTTTGGGGCATCTCTACCTGTGCAGGTCATGAGGGAACACACACATGACAGCCGCAGGTGAGCCCTCAGGGCTGCTGCTGTTACTATGGCAACAACATCCCACAGACGCCCTTTGAAAAGCATGACGCTGCCGAGCGTTTGGTGTCACTCTGAAGTGTGAACTCTTCTCCACGTGAAACCCGCCAGCCGAAAACTACACACACAACTGCAGAGCACGACTGCAGAAATGCATGTTTGACATCTGCAATATATCATAACGTACAGCTCTAATGTGGTTTTATTGTTTTCCTCAATCATTTTTGAAAACAGTCCTAACCTTCTCTAAACTGTAAATGCAACTGTCACAACTGTTTTATGGGACATCACATCTCCATTGCATGTATGCATAGTAACTCACCTAAAACATCTACAGTTTTTCTCAGTTTTCCTCGCTTTGGCTCAAATGAGAATTTTGTTTCTCAAAACAATACGCTCAGATTTCTGAACAATTTGTTTCTTTTTCCAGCTAGCTTTATATTTCTAATGCATTTATGTGTTTTGGCACAAAAGTACATTTGTCTACACTTTACATAAATGCACATGGTTTGTTGATCAAAACTGATGAGTGCAAAATCTCTAAACATGTTTTCATCATGGGAGCCATCAAATCCAAATTATCAAAATCTGTCCGAAATATGTGTATATTTCATAAATATACAATTATGATTGTGATGTCTGCTAAATTTACAAATGTTTGTGTGTGCTACAGTATTGCTTTTCCCAGTAAACTTTTACCTACTGTTGAAATCTGTATCTAAAAAGTTAAGTTGACAACTTAATATATCATTATAGACTAAACATATCATTAGTAAGCAGTCAGTGCAAACAAAAGAGAAGAACAAAATAGATATTGTTATACAACAAACATTTCCAGAATTGACTGCCATGCTGAAACAAACATCTAAACATTTTGAACATTTAGACCAACTGGCCAATTTACTGACATAATAACCAGGTTTTGAAGCATGAGTTTAATTTTTTGGTTGAGTAACTGCATATTAAAGACATGCAATTTGGCAGTTACGACAAAAATGACAAATATGGCCAAAAATGAGCCAAAGTATTTGAGAAAAACTGAAAAAAACTCCTTGCTTAAAGTGTGCAAATTGTAGAAAGTTGTACTTGCTCTTTTGCACAAATGGGCCAAAATATGTGCAATTTGCTTGAATTAATAAGAAATTGTTCAGAGATGTGAACTTTACTGGGTTAAGGGAAAAAATACAGAACAGAGTCAACACAAATAAGAAAAATGAACTGTTTTGTGCGAGTTACTACATTTTGCAGACATGCAACAGAGTTAGGGCTGAACGATTAATTGCATTTGCGATAATATCACGATATGAAAAAACGCGATTTTTCAATGACACGCGAGAGTAAAGAGGTGTGTTCGACTTGAAGATCAGATCGGTGTATGACATCAAAGTACGGCGAGAGAAAGCATAAGGAGACGTCCGCTTTGTTTTTATATTTCTGCAATCTGCTTTCGTTTGTGTGATTTGTTACTGACTTTCATATTAATGTTTACACCAGGCTTATTTGTCAGTGCTTTATGTTGTCATAATTATTACATGCTTACAAGGTTGGAAGTTCAACAAATCAGTCAATATACAACTGTGATTGTAGTTGTTAAATAAAAATGTCATTCATATCAATTCATGCATCACCTAATTTCATCGTAACATATAGGCCTGGCCTACAGAAAAGAACATTTATGTTTAATCTATCTAATAGTGTGTTGGTCATACTATACAATGATTTATAGCTTGTCTTTGTTGAATAATACAGAACATAAAGTGCTTTAAACAATAATTGCATATTAAATCGCAATCGCAATATTCGGAAATACAAATCGCAATTAGATTATTTTCCAAAATCGTTCAGTCCTAAATAGAGTTGTGATGTCCCATAACACAGTTGACAACTGAACTTAAAGTTTGTTGTTTAAACAGTTTCAAAAAATAAGCCCAATCATTTGAGGAAAAACTGGAATTCATGCCTCAGAATTGTGCAAACTGTAGAAAGATACTTACTTAAGAAATGTACTTGCCCTTTTGCGCAAATGGGCCAAAATGTGCAATTTGCTTTAATTAATAAGAAATTCAAATCTGGTTTGAACAAGAAACTAATTGTTCAGAGATGTGAACACTGTTTTGAGAAAAACATTGAGGTGAATAGAAAAACTATTCAACTATTAAACAATCATTTTGCACCCTCTCTCTGAAATATTACTTTAAAAAGTTTTGCAGTGATTTCAAATGCCCTTTTATGCATCAAATTGTACATAATTGTCATAAAACTATCAGACAAAATCCTTTTTAGGAATAATGGTCACCATTTTACTTCCTCCTTTTTAATCTCATTGTGTCTGGATGGAAGTGTCTGATTATCATGTGGACATCATTGACATGTAAATGTCACCGTGTCAGAGTAAATAAGATGTATCTGCTGTTTAATTTCAATCAATGTTTTTTTTTTTGGACTGAGGAGCAAGTTCTTAAACTCTTATTTTAAAAAGAAGAAAGTTTGTTACTTTAATGCTATGAACAAGTAGTGAAAATACGCTCTAAAACCCAGACTGCTGTGTAAGTCGCTTTGGCAAGCAAACGTCTGTTATGTAAATTATTATGAATGTAAACGCAAACCACAATCGTCTCATCTGCAGCGTGTCATTTCCTCTCACGGCTCTGATAATGATGCCAATCTCAGGCTGTGCTGTACTTCCACGTTCATCTAATGGCTACCGAACAGACCGTAATTGCGCCATAATGACACTCTCAGACTTATTCATCAGGTCTGCGAGTGGATGGACCATTTTCTGACTTTGTGAATGAACTCCTTGAAAATGCACGCTGCGATATGTGAATCCAGGCCAGCTGCACTCATCAAAAGAGATCTAGGAGACACACATGTGCAAATAGACAAATAAACAGGCCAACATGCATGCAAACACACACACAGCAAGCCTAATGTATTCTGCGTCTCAGTGCTGTTGGTTATAACAGACCACAACAGTCGGGGTCCAGATGTAAAAAACATTTATTTTACCAATTTTCCCCAAAATTAAAGCTTTCAAGACAGATCCAACATGAGCTTTGAGAAATGTGAAAATATACAGTGAATGGGTGCCGTCAGAATGAGAGCTGATAAAAACATCACAATAATCCACAAGTAATCCACACCACTCCAGTCCATCAATTAACGTCTTGTGAAGCCAAAAGAAACAAATCCATTATTAAGACATTTTTTACTTTAAACTGTCGCTTCTGGCCAAAATATGAATCCATAATTCATAATAACGCTTCCTCCAGTGTTCAAAAAGTCAATTTCCTGTTGTCCTCTCATATCAAAACCCAGTCACATATTTGTTTAGAGATGTTTTGGCTTGTAAATGGTGCTTGATCTCTGCAGATTTCTCTCCTGATTCAGACCAGACAACTTTTTCACTGGAGGAAGCGTTATTATGGATTATGGACTCAAATTTTAGCCAGAAACAACAGGTTTGAAATTAAATCACGGATTTGTTTCTTACAAACACACAGCTTTTGTCTTCTCAAGATGTTAATTGATGGACTGGAGTGGTGTGGATTACTCAGTGCAATCGTTAGGTTTAAGGGCTGTTTGGACTCTCATTCTGACGGCACCCATTCACTGCAGAGCATCCATTGCTGAGCAAGTGATGCAATGCTGAATTTCTCTAAATCTGATGAAGAAACAAACTCATCTACATCTTGGATGGCCTGAGAGTGAGACATTTTTAGCAAATTTCTATTTTTGGACGAACTATTCCTTTAATCTTGAAGCAAATCCACCAATTACAGAAGTCATAGTAACCATAGAAACAGGAATCACAGCAGAAAAACGTTGTGCAATGATCGCCCACTCCAGTGAAGCAATGCAAATGATGTAATGGATTCAGTCTCCTTACACTCTCAAACAACTTATATCTTTGAATGCTTTTCATTTTTGTGCTTACAATCTATAAGTTATAGTTTCATATTGTACTGTCATTTCTGATTACATAATATGCAGATGAGCAGTTCATTACCTCTAAAAAAAAAAATATTTAACCTTTATCTTTAAAATAGATTTTGCTTTGAATCAATTTTGTGGCTTATCTCAAACTGGCTGGTTTGAGAAAATGTAAACATTTAAAAAGCCACTGTTGCACTCTATTTGCTCAGAAACTCAAAGGACACAAGAAAACTGCAAACAAGAGGACCAGATCAGATAAAACAACCTCATCAGATCACAAAACAACACAAGAAACAATCCAGAATCCAGATGAAATTAGGAGTCAAACGCAAGGCAGAAGCCAAAATAGAAGCTGGTTCATCATTATCAGAGATGTGACTTTAGGAAAACTGTCAACTCTTCTCAGAAGAAGGCTGAAAGTTAAACAAATGCTGCAGATAAATCCAAACCGAATTCCAGCTCAGGCACCGTGGGTCTGATAGGAAGAAGCCCAGGTCGTGTCTGGAGGTCAAAACTTACACAAAGAACCTGAGAGCAGATGTTGAAAATGATCTTAGTCCTGCAACACACTCGGCTCAGGACAGAGCCAAGGACGGCCAGAGATTCCAGCTGCATCAACAACACTCTGCTAAACGATTATAACGAGAGACTGTCTAATTAATCACTCCGTATGAGCAGCATCAACAGCAGAACAGTAAAGAACTACACTGAAGAAAAAAAACTGGTGTACGACTGACTTTGAAACAACTTTCATTTAAAAATTGCTAGTAAATTTCACAATCTAGAAAATGTAAAAAGAAAAGTATTTTTGGCAGTGCAGAGAATTTGTCTAACAGAACAAAATTAGACACTCTTAGAAAAAATAAATCATCATCTTCAAAATAATAAGTATATATTCAATAAAAAAGTATAAATATATAATCAATATAATAACAATTTTAAAAATGCAATAAAAAATAACAATGTTATAAAATTGATTTGATTAGATTATCAGTTCATGCTAACATATTTCATTTTTTTATACTATTGACTATTTATAGAAACATTTTTCTACATTCATAAACATGTGAATTGGTAATTTCACCAATATAATCAAAAGAAAATAAAGTGAGTAGTTTGCGTTTATGTTATAAGTGAAAATATTTAAAGGGGTCATCGGATGCCCATTTTCCACAAGTTGACATGATTCTTTAGGGTCTTAATGAAAAGCAGCTGCATTCATCGTGAAACTCGCTAACTAGCACGCTATTAGGAAAGGCGATTTGTAAAGATTCATTATAAAACCTTACACTCACTTCTTCTGTAGGTGAAGCTGGATCACGAATGATTCGTGCGAAGATAGATGCATTTATGTAGATCGGGATCGGCGCATTCCCTTCACAAACAAAGGTAATCCACTGCGTCTTCAGCGGCTCAGATGTCGGGAGTAAATGACGACTGCTGTTCATTATTACTTCCAACAACAGAACACCTAACACCTTTAATAAAAATGTAATATATGAATACTTTGCTAACATCAATATCACGTTGTTTACTTATGGTTGTCCAAACCTAATCCTAAAATTCATGCAAATTCCTGAGGATAAAACTGATAGATAAGCAGTACTGCTCTGTCACTTGGATAGTTTTGTGATGTGATATTATTTGTATAACATTTAAGCAATTTTCCCCCTCGAATTGTAACGATTCTAAAATATGATGTAAAATCTGGACACACTGCATATTATTATTATTTTTAAATCTGTTAAAATGTAAAGGAATTGCAACAAATACCTGATTAGTGCATAAATACTTCCCGATTAAAATAATAATAAATTATTTTGGCATTGCAACAATTAGAAAGGGGGCTTAACTGTTATGAAAACAATGTAAAAATGCCAGAAACCTTAAACTCTGTGTAAACTGAAAATATATGTAAAAGTCCAGTTTTCTGCGGCTATGTTATGACGTCATATCCATATAGTAATTACGTACAAATGACATCACATGACCACGTCACGGCAATTTGATGATATGTATATGTATTAGTAACAATTACGCATACTCTCATTTGAGTGATTGTTAATGAATTACAGCCTGTTGCACTGATTGATCAAAGATTTTCCCATTCATAAAGATAAATTCAGCCACGAGGCGTTTGCTGTGATTTACAGATGAGTAGCTGATCATCATATTTATTCATTTAGCACTATAATGTCGATCATACAGCGATATTTTCATGTTTTCCCTGCTATCATCCTCCAGCTAGCCGCTGCTCCACCGTTACACGCATCAAATCCAGCTGACTGCGTTCTTTCACACTCTCCTGCTTCATTTTGACCTCGTTTCTGTTCATATTTCAGCTGTTTGATTGGGATTTGTGTGTTTCTGCAGAGTCTGCGTGTGTTGTTTTGTGTTTTTAGCTTGGGCTGTTGTTACAGCACGCGCGGAACGCAACAGGACCCACCGAAAAAACACAGCAAAGTTACGAAAGACACGAATGTAAGCACACAAGCACAAGCACGCAGTGCTCCCCAAACGGACGTCACTTTTGGATCATTTCTAAGAACTGTGTTTCCATCGGTGTCTTACCTGCTGTAGTAACTCATGTTTATCCGCCGTTGCTATGGATTCCTCCGATGCTGCCGCGTCGCGTGCGTCCCCGTGCGCAAAATCCGCAGCATGCGCATGCGCACACGGTTACGCGTCAAATGACGTTTCTTCCTCAAGGGGGCGCGTGATGCTCAGAAAATCCATTCCTCCACATACGCTAAAAAATTATATACTTTCAGTCTATAAGTAAAATCGATTGGTATTTCATTTCATACAAATGGAAATCCCCCTCTGAAATCTCTATAAAATCGTCTAAAATAATCCACTCATCGTAAACGACTGTGATTGGTCCATCTTGGAAATGCGCAGTGAAAAGTAACATATATCATTGTTCATTCTCTCTGAACAAGATTACACTGGAGTAATTACACTAACAAAATATCCACTGAAGATATAAAATAAATCGTTAAAGTGGGAGAATTGTTTTTATACCCGTTTTTTTTCTTTCCAGCTTACGCTGTATGATTGGTCAAGTGTTGCCAAGTCAAATAAAATCCCCGATTTATTGTCGTTCTGTCTGTCCCACACACACAGTTATAAAGCAAGCTAGATATGACAGATGTCACACGTACCTTCAATGAACAATATAAAATAAAACTCGGCCTGTTCCTCAATCATTGTGGGAGGTATACGCCCTCTTCTGGTGATTTACTTTAAATACAACCGCTTTGGCTGGTCACTGGTCTTCCAGCTAACTTATTTAGCAAACGTTCTCAACTAAATTGAGAAAAAAGTTCTTCCAGTAGCGTTAACAGAAGATTCGTTCAAAGCAATCTGGTTTTTAATAATGTTCTCAAAATGTTAGCACACAAACGGGATCTATCATGGTTTTTTAATTTAGTTACTAGGCTACATGTTTCAGAACGTTCAGAGAACATTTAAAAATATCATTCCCATTTGTTGCTAAATTATAAAATGGAATGTTCCCTTAACAAACATTCATATAGGCCTATAACCAAGAACAAAAAAATGACTTTTTGGAGGTTCAGAGAACATTTAGAAATAACATTTTCGTAACTTAGAACAAATTTTTGGGCTGGTACTGGTCTCCAGCAAAACCTTGGTAGAGCTGGTTGACTAAGGAAGTTTTACTGATTATGTTAAACTATGTATGTACACTTTAACAAATGAATGATACTTTTTGGATCCGCTGTTTGTGCCAATGTAAAGAACAGACAGCACTGGGATATTTAAAATGAATTTTGATCCTAAAATCTCTACTAGATGGCAGTATAGAGTGATTTTCCTGTTCATCTCAGCTGTCATTAACCTACACTTGCTCTCATCTGTTCTAAGGTACTTTGTAACAAAGTTCTAACAGTGATGGTTATTCAGGGGAAAGAGTGAATGTGAGAATCTGATAGAAAACAGGCTGTCATTTAATATTTTGGTCATCTCACCGCTCAACAACTGTTGAAATTGCCTTTACTGTACACTACTTCTAAGTACTTTGATTAGCAGTCCAGAAAACAGCTCTTCAATACATATATATTTTCTGAGCAGCAGCTGTGTACACATATTGCTTGCAAAATAGGCCAAAATAGTGGCACACCGGGGGTCTATGGCGTAGGTGTTTTCTGAACCCTTCATTCTCCATCAACCACAAGAACATGAGAGAAGACATGAAGGTGGACGAGGTTACGCTGAGAAAAACACAGCTGCTCATCCATCTGACCGCTTCATGGACATTCATCTGAATGAGACAGCCGAAAAAACAAACACAGTCTGACTGTGAACAGGAAGCGCGTGATAAAACGAGGCGAATAAAACCTTTGGGAACGTCATGATGCTTGCATTGCACATTTTTTAGATGCATAAACATAATTAGTACAAAATAGTTTTGACGGAGCAACTCTGACAGAAAGCAACAAATTGTGTTAAAACAAGTGTGTTATGGCTTGACATTTAGGAGATGTGTTTTGCTCTGAACACACTGTAACGATTATATGATTAATAAGTCATACTGTATGTTTTTTCCATTACTCTAACTATTCAAAATAATTTAACCCATTTCAACTTCATTGGTTAAATTATGACATTCAACTTGATTTTTTCATATCAGACTAATATGATTTAAGTTAAAGGGACTTGTACAGCCAATTGGATTATATTTAAAAGGATAGTTCACCCAAAAATAACAATTCTGTCCTCATTTACTCATTCTCAAGTTGTTCCAAACCTGTGAGAGATTTTTTCTTCTGTTGAGCACAAAAGAAGATATTTTGAAGAATGTTGGTAACCAAACAGTTGACAGTAGCCATTGACTTATGGAAAAAAATACAATGGAAGTCAATGGCTACCATCAACATTTTGTTTACAAAACATTCTTCGAAATGTTCTTTAAAAGCTTAAGGCACTAACTGAACTTTAAACTACAGTAGGTGGTTTTGACAAATGCAGAAACACAATATCTGGCCATGCAAAAGGCCTTTTTTTATTGTGCATCTTATTAGCTGCATATTTCAATAGGAAATGCATTTTTAAAAAATGAAGAAAGAATTGTGCTCATCAAACTATTGCATGAGTTCTTTAATCCCATCAGACGAGATGCTGCACGTCTGATCTGTGGGTTTGCCTCGGGCTCTGATTCTCGCCGCTGTTGATTCAGGGCACTGTGGATTGATACGCTGGAAATAAAGCAGTGAATTTCTCGGTCTGAGTGCCAGAAAGTTGTTTTTGAAACCACTGTGGGTGGACGGTGCATGAAGTCTCCGCTGCTCTGTGGAAAAATACAGGGAACACAAACAACAGCAAATGAGTGTTGTTTGTGCATCAGGAGCCGCTTGGAAAATGACCTGATCTGGTGTCTCTCAAAACTGACCCAATACATGCTGTTCTTGGTGTGATTGATTCAACAGTTATTCTAAATGACATGTTTGTCTTCATAATCTTTCATCAAAAAGAAATACATTTTTCCACTGTACATTTGTACACTGTACATACATTTAAGATGCTTTCATTATCAGCCATTACTTAAATATTCATTTATGCATTTTGCAGATTGCAAAGCAAATTACATTACATTTAATGTATTCCCTGGGAATCGAACCCAAGGCCTCAGTGTTGCTAGCACCATCACAGGTAACAAATTTAGGTTATAAAAACGTTGTGGGAACATTGTTTTGAAATGTTTCTAAAAAATGAAAATGTCCAGTTTTCTTGTTGTGATTAGAACATTATCTAAAGTTTAGAAACTCGACTAACTTTATTTCACCCAAAATATAACGGTATTTGAACAGTTATTTTTAATATTCTCACATTTTAAAATGTCAAGTTTTCTTGCAGCGATTATAATGTAAGGTTACAAAAACGTTTCTTAGTATGTTCATCAAGTACAAATAACATCGTATGGATGTTTTGAGAATGTTTTTGTAAGAATGTTTTCTCTCAGCATTATGAGAACATACAGTATATCAGATATTGATAAAGTTATAAGAATGTTCCATAAGCATTACTTTAAGAATGCTTTGTTTTATAACTTTAAAAAAAACTTTGCCCTCCTTTTTAAGCCATGCATAGTCAGTTCAAGACAAGTCAATTGTATTTGTGCTTTTCACAATCATGATTTTAATGTTTATATTATTATCCGCATACCTTATAGTTGCATTTAGCAGAATAGTATGTATAGTTTAAATTTTGATATGAACAGTCACATAGTTACATACTGTACTGTATAAACTATTATGTTTAGCGACCAGAAGCCACATTGAGGAAGTTTCTAATGAGAGCTTCTCAGTGTATTTAAAATGCATTTGTTGAGTAAAGGACAATGTTTCTGTTAAATGGCATGCTCTTTGATATTTTGCATCAATGACATTCAAATATTTTTAAGTGCCACTTAAGTGACTGTTGTTTGGGGATCACTGAATGTTCAGTTCCAGCTCTGCAGTGTGTTTTCACGAGTACATTCATGTCCTCATTTGTGCCCATCACACTATCAGGTGGGCTCTGTTTTGGATGTGATGCTTGATTGAATCAGTGTGTGTGTGTGTGTGTGTTTGCGGGACAGTATGGAATGTGAATAGCAACATTCCCGCTGTGCAGGGCCTGATGGGACGGCTGTTTTTACTGTCCGGTGTAATTATTACTGGACATTCAGTCATCCGAACATCCAGCAGCAAAACCTGATTATACCAGATCTCTCATTCAAGCCATTCACTGAAATCAACCCAGCCAACAAATTTAGCTTATTAAAACGTTGTGGGAACAATGTTTCTAAAATGTTCAAATGTCCAGTTTTCTTGTTGTGATCAGAATATTATTAAAAGGTTACAAAAATGTTTCTTATTTTAAACGTTATTTGAATGTTTATTTTTAAAATTCTAAGAATGTTTACATTTTGATGTGTTTGTAATGTTATTTAACGATTACAAACGTTAATCAAATCACCCAGCCAACAAAATGTGTTCTAAGACCGTTTTGCAAACATTTCCATTAGGTTATGAAAATGTTATTTCTGAATGTTCTGTGAATGATCAAAACATCTTGTTTTTTTAATTGTTTTAAAATAGTTTTTTTCTTGGTTATGCAAATGTTAAGGAAACATTCCATTTGATCATTTTACAAATGTAATGCAAACGTTACTTTTGAACGTTCTCGGAACATTCCGAAACAAGTAGTAACATTTAAAAAACGTTAGATGAACATCCAACTAAAACGTTTCAGGAAAAACGTTCCATGCCTGATGTATAAATAGTGTTTTTGTGCTAACATTTTGAGAATATTATTAAAATACTTTGAACAAACGTTCTATTAACATTACCGGAAGATCATTGAATCCTAAAAATAAGTGACACTTTGAAATATTTTTCACTCAGAAATTGCTGGTTAATTTCACAATTACAAAGAAATGGCAAGTAGCACATGAATTTTTGAAGCAGACAGTACTTTCTTGTTTGCAGCTCTTTTGTAGAGTCCATGACCACTGTTGAGTTCTGGACTTGTGGACTTCTGCTTCATCTGTGCTCTTGAAGACTCTAACGAGCTTCACATGCCAGCGTGAGAGTGGCCTTTCTTCACACAGGCAGTTAATGAGCATCCGTCTGTGACCATCAGACCAAA